TAATAAGGAAAAAAAAAAAAACATTCACGAGCTCTTAACTCCAAGAGTTTGCTTTCCCTTTATTTCAAAACTAGTAAATTCTTCCATAAGACTCCATGAAGTACAGGGTACAGTGAATAGGGGTTATGTCCCATAGAGTGAAGGGATTATTCTGCAAACAAGAACATCTCCATTTCCCTTTTTGAAAAGTGAGGTGACTTGACTATATGGCAAGTGACACCATTCTGTTTCTCAGATTCCTTGATTTTACTTGCACACAGGTGTTCAAGAATAATGTGTTGTATTTAAGGATTGTACTACCAAACAAATAGCTAAGAAAGCCTTTGGGAGCTGTGTTATATGTACCTTAATCATCATTTTTTTTCTAATAATTCTCAATAGATTATTGAGCATTTTTCCAAAGAAAATATCAAAACATGTAACAGAGTTTCACAATGAATGATGAAATACCAGATACACCATCATCACTACAAAAGGCATCATGAAGCACCTTTCCATTCCAAGAGTACATGGAAGTTATTTTTGAAGACACAACTTTGGGGTGCATGCTTGGTGCAGCAGTCAAAACACCACTTGTGACACCTGCAATTCATATCAGAGTACCTGGGTTTGAGTCTTGGCTCCACTTATGATTCCAGCTTCCTGCCAAAGCACACCCTGGGAGATGGCAGGTGATGGCTCAATACTCAGGTCCCTGACACCCATGTGGGAGATCCAGATTGAATTCTGGGCTTTTGGCTTCAGCTTGGCCCAGCCCCAACTATTGTAAGCATTTGAGAAGTAAACCATGAAGTGGAAGATCTCTGCCTCTCTCTCTCTTTCTGTGTGTATGTGTCTCTCTTTCAAATAAATAAAAACTTTCTGGAAAAAAAAAAACACAACTTTAAACTACATAAAAGGATATATAAAAAATTATGTGAAATGATGAAATCTAACAACTTTAGCTATTATAGAAAAAAAATTTAGTAGAAAATAGATGACATATCAACTGTAGGATAGTTCAACATTTTAAGGTTTACCAGAAAGTTAATATTCTTAATTATGAAAAGATAACAAAATCCATATGTTTATAACCAAACATCAAGCATTCTTCCAGTCATTCAAATATATTTGTTCTGGGTCCTTGAACTTTAAAATATTTTACTGTGCTTTATCCTAGGGCTATAGATTATAATCAACTGTGAGTTATTGATTAGTTATAAATCTTAATATTCCATGCAGGCTTATGTTGAAATTTCTAATGACAAAAAAAAAAAAAGAATTATTCCAAACTTTTGTAATCTACCAACAACTTGATATAAACTAGTCAAGAAAATAGTAATTGTTTTTTTATTTTTCATAATAAAACATCAAGTAGATGACAAGTAGTTGAAAAGTCATGAAGCTTTTCAACTGAAATCTCTAAGAACATCACAAAAATTTGTAGGTTGACCTTCGTTGCATTTAAACTGATCACTGAGAGTAAGACAGAATTTGTAGGCCTCAGGGCAAAGATGGTCTGGGGAAGGAAGTTAATTCTATCGACATCGTATCATTCCTATGTTCTAGTATTTATCTTCACTGTGGAGAAACTGCTTAAAAATGAGTGAATTAATAATGTATCTTTGTGGCAGATTAGCAGAAGGGATAACAGGCAGAATGGGAACAGATTTCAAATAGCAAAGAACCCTCAACATTCCATCATTTGGTACATTCCTACACACGTTTGTACATGTATACAAGTCTTAATTATTCTAACTTTCCAATTCTTTATGTGCTTTCTAGCGCTACTGCTATGAATTTAATAGGACTTGACTCTCCAAAGTCCTGCAGATGTTTAAACCCCAAGGTCTCATGTGAATGGTTAATGCATTAATGCTAATGGCTGATGGATAAGGGTGGAGGCTTGATTCAATTATGGCATCTGGAGGGATGGCCTTTGAGAAGTGTTTGTTTGGGCTGGAGTAGGTTGTTAAGAGAGTGTAACTGAATCATGTTGGCATTATAAGGGAAGACCAGTCTATGTCTCTCTCTGCTCCCTAGCTTGTCATATGATTATTTCTCCATACCCACTTCATTATTGCCAGCCTCCAGACACCAGACTAAAGGAGCTACTTGATCTTGGACTGTAAAACTCCAACTGTAAGCCAAAATAATCCTTTCCCTTCCCCTTCCCAAGAAGGTACTCTCACATATTTTAAAGCAACAAAAAGCTGGCTAATACATGCTACCATAACAAAGCAGCACAGACTGGGCAAACTGAACAAGATAAATGCATTTTCTTAGTTCTGGAGGCTGTAAGTTCAAGATAAACATCCATCAGCAGGCTTGATTTCTACTCTCTCCTGAGCTTGAGGATGGTCACCTATTGCTGTGTCTTCATATGGCCTTTACTTTTCTTAATATATTCCAGGGGCCAGCTCTGTGGCACAGTGGATTAAAGTCCCAGCCTGCTGCACCAGCATCCCATAAGGGCGCTGGTTCAAGTCCCGGCTGCTGCACTTCTGATCTAGCTCTCTGCTATGGCCTGGGAAAGCAGCAGAACATGACTCAAGTCCTTGGGCCCCTGTACCCACATGGGAGACCCGGAAGAAACTCCTGGCTCAAGGCTTCAGATAGCTCAGCTCTGGCTGTTATGGTCATTTGGGGAGTGAACCAGCAGATAGAAGACCTTTCTCTCTCTCTCTCTTTCTTTTTTTTTTTGACAGGCAGAATGGATAGAGAGAGAGAAAGGTCTTCCTTTTGCCCGCCACGGCTGGTGCGCTGCGGCCGGCACACCGCGCTGATCCGAAGGCAGAAGCCAGGTGCTTCTCCTGGTCTCCCATGGGGTGGGTCTCCCATGGGGTGCAGGGCCCAAGCACTTGGGCCATCCTCCACTGCACTCCCTGGCCACAGCAGAGAGCTGGCCTGGAAGAGGGACAACCAGGACAGAATCCGGCGCCCCGACCGGGACTAGAACCCGGTGTGCCGGCGCCGCTAGGTGGAGGATTAGCCTATTGAGCCACGACACTGGCCTAAATAGAGATTTCATCAGTTTGCACCCACATAGAACATAAAGTGTAAAATACTGTTTGAGTACTAGTTATAGCATTAATTCACACTGGACAACACATTAAGGACAGAGATCCCACATGAGGAGTAAGTACACAGTGACTCCAGTTGTTGACTTAACAATTTGACACTCTTGTTTATGGCGTCAGAAATCTCCCTAGGCTCTAGTCATGAGTTTCCAAGGCTATGGAAGCCTCTTGAATTCGCTGACTTCAATCTTATTTAGACAAGGTCATAGTCAAAGTGGAAGTTCTCTCCTCCCTTCAGAGAAAGGTACCTTCTTCTTTGATGGCCCATTCTTTCTACTGGGATCTCACTCGCAGAGATCTTTCATTTAGGTGTTTGTTTTTTTTTTGTTTGGTTTGGGTTTTTTTTTTTTTTTTTGGGCCAGAATGTCTTGACTTTCTATGCCTAAAATACTCTCATGGGCTCTTCAGCCAGATCCAAATGCCTTAAGGGCTGATTCTGAGGCCAGAGTGCTATTTAGGACATCTGCCATTCTATGAGTCTGCTGTGTATCCCACTTCCCATGTTGGATCGTTCTCTCCCTTTTTTATTCTATCAGTTAGTCATAAAATTTTCATAATTCACATTTTCTATGAACTTTTTGAAGATTCACAGATTCATAGATTTCCGATTCTCTTAAATTTTTTTAATTTCCTTGTTAAAAGGGAAATCGTATCTTTTATCTCTTGTTCTAAACATTAATCACAGAAAACATAAAAATATCCAAATAAGTAATCAGCCATTCCGAACATTATTGAAGCATAAAATTAAAAGATAAAAGGCAAAATAATCTAAGAATAAAAGTTATTCTTTATCTACAATAGTGATTCACCTAAATCATACTTAAGTATGTTTAATTTATGAGATTTTTTTCATTGTAATTTTCTCTACAATATGACAAATAGTACATGCTTATGAAATACTAAATGAATCAAGTAATACAGGAAAAAGTTGATCAAATATTCCCTGTAATGGTATTTATTCATAGGCCAGAACATATAAAAGAATCTTAATAACCAGTTAATCAATTTTTAAGTTATTACATTCAAAACAATCATTTAACCAACAGGCATATTGTGTTATATGATACTCAGATGGAAATCAGTCTTTACTATAAAAAGTAACAGATAATTAATCATAACTTCAAAGTCTTTTGGGTCCACTCAATAACGCATTAATCTAATTCACTGTATTCTCTGATAAAATTTACTGGATTAGCTCTCTGCTATGACCTGGGAAAGCAGTAGAAGATGGCCCAAGTCTTTGGGCCCCTGCACCCACCTGGGAAACTCAGAAGAAGCTCCTGCCTCTTGGCTTTGGACTGGCGCAGCTCCAGCCATTGCAGCCATCTAGGAGTGAGCCAGCAGATGGAAGACCTCTCTCTCTCCCTCTACCTCTCTCTGTAACTCTGTCTTGCAAATAAATAAAAAAAGAAATCTACTGGATTTTATAACATCTTTCATTTTCTTCTTTTTTTTTTAATTTGACAGGCAGAGTTATAGACAGTGAGAGAGAGAGAAAGAGAGAAAGGTCTTCCTTCCGCTGGTTCACTACCCAAATGGCCGCTACAGCCGACACTGTGCCGATCCGAAGTCAGGAGCCAGGTGCTTCCTCCTGGTCTCCCATGCGGTTGTGCAGGAGCCCAAGAACTTGGGCCATCATCCACTGCCTTCCCAGGCCACAGCAGAAAGCTGGACTGGAAGAGGAGCAACCGGAACTAGAACCCAGCACCCATTTGGGATGCCGGCGCCGCACGCGGGGATTAACCAAGTGAGCCACAGCACCGGCCCCCACAACTTTCATTTTCATAGTGTCCATATTTATCTAATTAAAACTTACACTATGAGCTGAAATCAAAGAGTAAGAATATATAAACACTAGGATTCCAAGATTTCCTATACAAAAGGTTAAAAAACAAACCCTGAAGTTATGAATGTATTAGATGAATTATCAGCAATACTCACGCATCATTTGAGCAAGTCATGAATTCTCCCTTTATTTTGGGATGCCATGAGCCAGTATGAAGCATTGCTGTGTGACCCTTAAAAAGATAAAGAAAAAGGAGGGCGGAAAAAGATGTTTAGAAAAGGTAAAAAAATAAACTGATAAGAAAGTTTCATGCTTGTTTAAAACTTCAGGCTCCCATAAAAAGTACATTGTTTAATTCAAAACTGATATCACTTGATTCCAACTATATCTCATAACATGCTTTGTTTATTTTACTTTAATTCACTTGTGTACTACTCCCTGCCCAGCCTAGCAATTAGCACAGTGTCTCTAGGGAACAGGTGTGGAATAGGGTGGGAAACAAAGAAAAAACTGACATGCTTTCTTAGGAAAAAACAGAAAAGATAATACTATATTGTGAAAGAAAAGCACTCCTTTAAAAACCATGACTCTTTAGGTCAATGAACAACAATATGAATAGAAAGACTTTATAAATAGTCAAGCTTAAGGCTGGAGATTGGGATGAGTTTGGGAGGAGTAGGGAGTCATAATTCCTAAAAAACATGCCAACAATCTTGAATCTACAATTCATCATGTATAACCTTGGGGAGGATTCCAAGATAGCTGAATAGGAAAAGATGTACTGCTTTAGGTGAGAGGGAGATAACAGAAAACAAGTGGAGGAAGTATAGTCCCAGGGCAGAGCTGGAGTGGAATCTGCAGCGGAAATTCTACAGGAGAGGGATGCCATGGATCAGCATGGAAGGTGCGAACGCCCAGCAATGAGAGAGGACCCAATGCAAATTCCTGCAATGGAGAGCTGGAGTATATGCCAACTTTGGAGAGTGGGGTGAGAGCAGACTGCAGCAGCCCATGACACAGCCGGAGACATCACCGGAGGTAGAGCCTTGCAGACCATACTGTCCTTGAGTCCGGCCAGGAGCCCTAATGGGAGAAAGGGTACTACACTAACCGAGTGAAACAGAAAAAGCATGTTTCTCTCTCTCTATTTCCTCACAACGACAGGCAGCAAACAGCGGGGAGAGGGCACCATTTTGACACCAGTAGTAGCTACGGGGGCTCTTGAGAGCTCATGTAATCAGGTATTTTACCAGAGGAAAAAAATCTACATGCCCCACTTTGAGTCTGGCTAAGAGGGTTGACAGAGGGACTGGGCACCCATGTAGGACTGTGAAATGGCCCCAGCATCTCAATATATCACAAGATCTCGGACTCAAACCAGAAAGTTAGAGTACCCACAGGAAGCTGGATCTGGAAAATGTCTCTGCTATCTCCCTGGATGGGACAGGTTAGTAGGGGGGAAGAGATCCTCTGTACCCCATGACTGTGGGAGACGTCTGCTGACACCGTGGGAATGCTGTTGAGTGCATGGTAAGGCGCAGGGTGTAGCTAGGTCTCTGGAAAATCAGTGTCCAGTGCCAGAGGCTCAGAGCTCCCTGATTGCCTAGCATGGGTCATTGCAGTGGGGTCTGTGCTCACACTGAAGACTGCACAGATTCTTTGTGCTGTTCATGAGGCTATACAGTTTGCACATACCACGGGCTAATGGAAGGCACTGATCACCTTGGAATAAAGGAGGTAGTAAGGATATGATTATGCCAACAGAGGTACTCATACCCACACCCCTGTTGACAATAGAGGTAATCTACCATGTCCAACTTGGGTGACACCCTGGATACTCGGACCACCATGGAACACTGACCAGAGCTCCCTGGCCACACCCCTGGACATGGCTTTGGATATTCACTGAAAGAGCACACACTGCACTAAGTCACAGAGGCATAATTCAAAGACAAGAGCCATCAGAGAAGAAAACCAACAAGTATTTCCACAAATGCCTAAAAACAAACACAGAAATCAAGAAACAAGAATAAGGAAAACAACATGACTTCCCCAAAGGCACACAACACCACTTCAATATTACTATGTGAAGACAAACAGATTGATGAAATTCCTGAAAAGAAATTCAAAAGAATGATCACAGGATTACTCAGAAGCAATGAGTAACAAATTCACAAGTTAAAGAAGTTCATACACACATCGGAAGAATTCTCCAATGAGACTGAGATTTTGAAGAGAAATCAAACTGAAATACTAGAAATGAAGAATTCAATATATCAAATAAAAAATACAGTGGAAAGCCTTAACAACAGACTTGGTGAGCAGAAGAAAGAGTATCTGAACTATAAGACAAATCTTTGGAAATATATCAGGCAGACCAAAAAAGAAGAAGAAGAAGAAATTAGAAAAATTAAAAAACAATGCATGAAGGGCAAGGACTGTGGTGCAGCGAGTAACTGCCACCTGCAGAGCTGGCAGACCATGTTCAAGTCTCAGCTGCTCCTCTTCTGATCCAGCTCTCCACAATGGAATGGGAAAGCAGCAGAAGATGGCCCAAGTGTTTGGACCCTTACACCCATGTGGGAGACTTAGAAGAAGCTCCTGACTCCTGGCTTCTAATCAGCTCAGCTCTGACTATTTGGGAGTGAACCAGTGGATGGAAGACTTTACTCTCTGTCTTTCCCTCGCTGTGTAACTATACCTCTGAAATAAATGAATAAATAAAGTGTGAGAATTATGAGATACTATCAAATGACCCAACATATGGGTTTTAGGAGTTCCTGAAAGTGTGGAAAGAGAATGGTTTAGAAGGCCTGTTCAGTGAAATAATTACAGAAAACTTCCCTAATTTGGAGAAAGAAAGGGACATCCAAGTACACAAGGCACAAAGAACCCCTAATAGACATGACAAAGAAAGATCCCCACCATGACATATTTCAAACTTTCAATAGTAAACACAAAACCCATCTTTTTGCTGCCTACAAAAAATGCAACTTACCAACAAAGATACACACAGACTGAAAGTGAAAGGATCGAAAAAGATATTCTATGCTAACAGAAAGCAAAAACAAGCAGGTATAGCCTTTAACACAAAAACCATTAAAAGAGACAAATAAGGGCATTACGTAATGATTAAGGGATCAATTCAACAGGAAGATGTGACTGTAATAAATGTAATCACATTCAATGCCAGGGCACCTAGCTATTTAAATAAATGTTAATGGATCTAAAAGGAGGCAGTCACAACATAATGGGGCACTTTAGCACTGCACTTTCATCACTGAACAAATTAACTAAACAGAAAACAAAAAAAACAACAGAACTAATCTATGCTATGGAGACCAAATGGACTTAACTGATATCTATAGAATATCATTCTACAGTTGCAGAATATACATTCTTCTCATCAGTGCATGGAACTTTCTCTAGGACAGACCACATGCTAGGCCATAAAGTAAGTCTCAGCAAATTAAAAAAAAAAAAAACTAAAATATTACCATACAACTTCTCTGACTGTAATGGAATGAAGCTGGAAATTAACAACTCAAGAATCTCTAGAAAATAGGCGAATACATGAAGAGTGAACAATATACTCCTGAATGAACAGGAAATCAAAAGGGAAATCAACCAATTCCTGGAAATGAACGAAGATGACAATACAATATATTAAAACTTATGGGATACAGTAAACGCAGTGTTAAAAGGGAAGTTTATACCAAGTGGTGCCTACATCAAGAAATTGGAAAGGCATCAAATAAATGAGCTAACTCTGCAACTCAAGGACTTGGAAAAACAACAATAAGCCAAACCCAAAATCAGAGGAAGAAATAATCAAAATTAGAGAAGAAATACATAAAATTGAAACAAAAAACACTAAAGGTCAGTGAAATGAAGAGATGGTTTTCTGGGAAAAAAAACTGATACATCATTGGTCCAACTAATCAAATAAAAGAAGGAGAAGACCCAAAATAATAAAATCAGAGATGAAAAAGGAGATGTAACAATGGATACAACAGAAATAAAAATCATCAGGAATTACTACAAACATCTATATGCTAACAACTTGGAAAAACTAAAAGTAATGGATAGATTTCTGGATACATACAATCTACCAAAATTGAATCATAAAAACATGGAAAACCTAAACAGACCAATAACCAAGACAGAGACTGAATCAGTAATAAAGACCCTCCCAACAAAGAAAAGCCCAGGATCAGATGGCTTTACTACTGAATTCTACCAGACATTTAAAGAAGAACTAATTCCAATTATTCTCAAGCAATTCAAAATAACTGAAAGGGAGAAAATCCTACCCAACTCCTATGAGGCCAGCATCACCTTAATTCCTAAACTAGAAAATACTACAACAGAGAAAGAGAAGTATACACTAATATCCCTGATGAACTTAGAAGCAAAATATTTGCAAACTATGCAACTGATAAAAGATGAACACCCAGAATATATAAAGTGCTCAAGAAACTCAGCAACAATAAAGGAAACAATCCAGTTAAGAAATGGGCAAAGGACTTGAACAGGCATTTTACAAAAGAGGAAATTCAGATTGTCAACAGACACATGAAAAAAATACTCAGAATCACTAGCCATCAGGGAAATGCAAATCAAAACCACAATGGGGTTTCACCTCACTCCAGTCAGAATGGCTCTCATATAGAAATCAACAAACAACAAAAGCTGGCGAGGATGTGGGGGAAAAGGTACTCTAATCCACTGTGGGTAGGAATGTAAACTGGTGCAGCCACTCTGGAAGATAGTATAGAAACACCTCAGAAATCTGAATACAGACTTACCATATAACCCAAAAATCCCACTGCTGGGAATTTACAAAATGGAAGTGAAATCAGCTTATGAAAGAGGGTCTGAACTCCCATGTTTATTGCAGCTCAATTCACAATAGCTAAGATATGGAATCAACCCATATGTCTATCAACTGATGACTGGATAAAGAAATTATGGTATATATACACTATGGGGTAATTCTCAACTGTAAAAAAAAAAAATGAAATCCTGTTTCTGGCAACAAAATGGATGCAATTGCAAACCATTACACTTAGTAAAATAAGCCAGTCCCAAAAAGACAGATATGAGGGTCAGCACTATGGCATAGCGGGTAAAGCCGCTGCCTACAGTGCCAGCATCCCATATAGGCACTGGTTCAAGTCCTGGCTGCTCCACTTATGATTCAGCTCTCTGCTATATTCAGCTCTCTGCTAT